TCCGTGGATCCCATCTCGAGGGCGGGTCGGGCCACCCGGGCCAGGGCGGCGGGGGGGCAGCAGCATGTCGCGGCAGCGACCGAAATCTGGGAATAACGGTAGTAAAAGATTGTATCCTGCACAGCGACACGCACTTTGTGTCCTTCGGACAGAGTCAAGGTAGTGAGGCCCTTCATTACTGAGGAAACAAAACAAAAACAACTCGGTGAGGCAACACGGAGGTCGCAGTAACGTGCCCACCCGTAGTGACAACCAGGCCTCCATTCAATAAGAGGAGTGCACGACGTAACATTCATTGTGCTGACTGGGACCAGAAAGCAATTACCACAAAGTTATGCGCTAAGATCACTTCATTCAACTATATTGATTATTTACCAAGCAATAAACTATTCTGCTGTTTCACATGGCCCTATCACAGATTAATTGTTTGCGCTCTAATGTTGACCAATTAGTTACGAGTTACACTGAACTTACTGCACCAATGCAACATAAAAAACATCATTGAATGATCAAATTATTTTCTTCTATAAGTCTTCAATACATCTGACTGAATTTAATTCCACATAGAAAGTAACGTGGACTTGATGTGAATGATCTAGATACAACACAGTGGTGAAGGCTCATTAATAGACCATTTCGCCCGCAACTTGGCAATGCCACAAGTCAGATTTTATACTTGAGGTAAACCATTTACGGATCTGTTAACAAAATTATTTATCACATCTTGAATACATAAAAAAAATTATTAGAGCCAAGTGTTTTTAATTTTTGAAAACATGCCCATATTAGTATTTTGGAATGGAGATTTGCACTCATGCCAAAGTATGGGCAAAAAGGTCTACAGAGCCCACTTCCTACATCACTTTTCGGGAAAATTGTTTCAACACCTTGAGGTGATGACAAGCTCTGCGGACATTTACTTACCAATAAGCTCCTCTTCAGAAACAGAACGTGCAGAAGATGTTGAAGGACGTCCTAACCTAGAAGAACTTGTGGGCGGTTGGAGCCGACGGTCATTTGCGCTTTTGATTCACATGTCACTGAAGATGAAGGAAACACAATTTACGCGAGAAATCAGAAAATAAACTTGGCTTTCACGATCGGTCGGTCTGTGAGCGGTCGGTGGTCGCGCGGTCGGTGCGAGAGAGATGCCATCCATTTTGGTAGCACACATCTGTCTCTCTCATACCGCTTGTATGAAAAATCGCGAAAAAATTGTAATTTGTATGACAAATTCTATTCACTGATATACGAGGATGTTTTTAGCTGGCAGGTAGTAAGTCCACTCAAGTCCATTGGGCAAGCTCTAGCATCCTGATTCCTGAAACAGGACAAGGGGAAAAGAAAGAACGGTTGCGGGGGTTGGGAGAGGGCGGGAACGGGAAGGGGGAGGAGGGAGGGGGAGGGAGAAAAAAGAAGACGAGGACAATGAGGGCACACAGTAGGCAAACGTGTTTGTTTGTCAACGAGGGGTCGGGCGCGCCAGTGGTTGAGGAGGTTCAGAGGTCAGTGAGGGTCAAAGGACAGCAGAGTCCTCCGTTCCCCCTCCGTATCGCCGCCCGGGACTACTGGGGGGTACGATGAGGCTTTCGCAAACACAACGTTCGTGCGAGGTTTTTCCTGTTGCACTCAGGCAGATGGTCTGTCTCCGGGTAGTGATCGGGCGGGCTCGACGACCCCCGCGGGTCGCGCTCCCCCGGGGCGGGAACAGTGTTTTAGCCAAGTAGTTCCAACTGTTGTAATATGCAATTTCTCTACTTGTAAATATAGCTCAATATAGCTTTAAGTATGCCTGATGTGCTCTGAAGATTTCTCATATGTATATAGCCTCGATCAGGGCACCACTTATGTAACCAGTAATTCTCATACTCATAGCCTCCTTGGCAGGCTCCATGTTATTATGGTGTACACTTCCTGTTCCTGTTCCTCTCACTCAGCTCGTGTGTGTTGTACTGTACGGACGTGCTATTAAAATCTTATCCAAGTGAATCTGAACATTGAACGGAGTTCTCCTTCCAAAATCTCCCAAACCTGCTACTAAAAACAACAGGTTATGGGCTCCAGTTGGAACTCTGCATCAAGATAGTGACAATTAGTGAAAAAAA